GACATGGCTCATGCCACTTCCATACTCCTCACCTCAGTCGGATGCTCCAGTAGCTCACTCAGCTATGCTGCCTCCATTACTGCTCACTACGCTCTTCCAGTTCCGCTTACCACCACGCCCCAGCGTATATCAAGACCGTCGCTCCCAGTAGCTCACTAGCCGCCCCCGTTGCTGCTCACAGCTCCGTAGCGCTCCAGCCCCAGTTGCTGCTTCACCACGCCGCCGCAGCGTCGCCCCAGTCGCTGCTTACCACCATGTCCCAGCTGTTGTCAAGACTGTTGCCCCAGTAGCTCACTATGCCGCCCCAATCGTCAAGTCTGTCCACCAAGAAGTATACCCAGACACCCACCCAGAATACTCTTACCAATACGGAGTCCAAGACGCTCACACCGGTGATGTCAAGAACCAACATGAAGAACGGACGGAGATGTTGTAAAGGGATACTACACCTTGGTCCAACCTGATGGTGTCACCCGTACCGTCCACTACACCGCTGACTCCCAAACGGTTTCAACGCTGAAGTAGAATACAAAGGAGAACCAATCGTACAAAAAGCCGTAGTAGCCAAGACCATTGTTGCCGCTGCCCCAGTATACAAAGCCTACCACCATTAACAAACTTACATTGTTGATATTATTTATTGAATTAAAAAACATATATTTTAAAGCTAAACAAAATATAGTATTATTTAAAATCACAGCATACTAACAGAAGCGATAAACAATTCATAAAGATTTGGCAACACTACCAATAATTTCTTTCAGGAAAATAAGTAAAAATAATACTGAGCTTCAACATAATTGATATTAATCTGCATTCCTTGTAATCCTAATACCAATCCTGTACTCTTTTTCAATATTATTTTAATTTAATTTGTCCTATCCTATCTTATCTTTTTGTCTTTTCTGTTATAGAGCCTTAGGTTCGATAAATAATAAATTGAACGAGTTTTACTTTCGGTTTTTTGTTAAAATATTCGATACGACTTGATTCTTTAACATTCTTCTAAGACTAATTACAAATACTTATTCTACTTATAAAATTAACTAAGCAAGGTGCGTCTGGTTCCCAGACAATAATAATTGTAATAATGATGGTTGGACACCACAATTTGATCCAGTTTACTAGTTCTGTTTTAAGTTTAGAAATAAATATTTTAAGTTATTCTTAAGTTATTGTTGTTTATTTTACAATTGAAATTTGCGATGATATTTTTCTTCTTTTTATATTGTTTTGAGATTTTGCTGATCATATTATATAGACATTAATTTGTTTAATGAATTTACATTACTCAAATATTACGTCAGAATTATAAATGGGATAACAAGTCCTTTATAATTCGCTTGCATTTTAGGTCTTTGTAATTTAATTTGACAAATTAAATGTATGTTTAATTGAATTTTGGCTATATTTTTTTGTTTATGTGCAATATGTATATCGGGTCAAAAGACAAATTGAAGTTAAAGTCGAGGACGCGCATATTGAGAAGTCTCTGTTATCAACACCCTATAGCAGTGCTCCCCAACCTTTTAATCGGCGCGGACCGGTCAACGTTTCATACAGTTACACCAAAAAATTAATATAAAGTGATTTAACATTTTAACACGTATAGTTTATAAAAGGTTTTACAGTTATTTTTGTTTATTTAAATTCCTTTATTTGTATATGCTGCTCACAAAATTTAGATACAACATATTAATGTATTGCGCATTTATTCTTTATGGTGTTCTTATAGATTAATAATAAAATTAATATTAATTCAAATAAAAAAATCATTAACTGCCCTTTAATAATATATTTAGTGTTGTAGAAGAATTTTTTTTTATTTTTATGTCGAAAAGTATTTATTTTAAAATATATTGCTGACTACATGAAGGAAATCTGATGGCAGTCAACATTTCTTTTACTTTTTGGTAATTGGGTATCTGGGTATACTTCTTGGTAAATGGCCTTCACGGTTGTGGCGACGTAGTGGCCAACAGTCTTGACTACAGCTACAATTTGAAACTGTTTACCAAATTATTTTTTATACGAAATTATGCGAATGTGACCTTGAAAATATATATACAATTCTATTTTTTATTAAATTTATTTCATTAGATAATAAACATACTATAGACCTCAACTATAGTAATGATGAAAAAATAATAAATATAAAATTTATAAGAAGTTAAAAACTTTTGACACAAATAAGAAAATTGCTAGTATATAAATAAATAATAAATAAAAATAAAAATAAAATATCTTTCAAATTTTAATAATAGAAATATCATGGTCTATAGTTCTTTGATCCATTATTAATGTTCTGTTATCGTTTATAGTTTGCTACCTTTTTATTATTGGAGAGCCAATTTTAAGAAGCAATTTTAACAATGACATTTTCTTAATGGTGATAGGCTTTGTATACTGGGGTAACAGCAACTACAGTCTTGGCAACTACGGCTTTTTGTACGATTGGTTCTTCTTTGTATTCTACTTCAGCGATCAAAACCGTTTTGGGAGTCAGCGGTGCAGTGGACGGTACGAGTGACACCATCAGGTTGGACCAAGGTGTAGTGTCCCTTGACAACATCTCCGTCGCATCTTGGTTCGTGACATCACCGGTTACAGCGTCTTGAACTCCGTATTGATAAGACTATTCTGGGAGACTGTATACTTTTTGGTGGACGGCTTTGACGATTGGGACGGCGTAGTGGGCTACTGGAGCAACAGTCTTAACAATAGCTGGAGCGGTAAAATAAGCTACTGGAAGTACAGTCTTAAGTATAGCTGGGGAGGCGTGGTACGCAGCAACTGGAGCGGCGTAGTGACCGCCGATTGGGGCGGCGTAATGCGCAACTGGAGCAATAGTCATGACTGCAGCTGTGGCATCAGCATTGTGAGCTATAGGGGTTCCGCTAAGGGAAGAGTAAGAAGTGGCATGGTGTCCATGTCCAAGGTCGAATACTCCAGCTTGAGTGTACGCTACAAGAGCAAAGATAGCATAAATCTGTTAAAATATATAATTGGATTACACAATGTTAGAACAACTGTTTTGAACTTACCTTTGAGAACATTATGACTGTTTGTGATACGATTCGATAACGTTCGTTGAAATTTATCAACTATTCATAAACCATTCAATGAAGTTCCATATAAAAGTTACGTAATGAATTAAATTAATTTGAAACGTTCCACTGTTTCACATTAAACTTGAAAAGAAACTCGTTTCACATAATCCAATTTATTTAATAAAATGCAAATCACTACGCTAATAGCTATTTTTTAATGAAATGTCTGTGTAGGTCACTGATTTTATTTCACCTCATTAAATGCATTTCTACATATTTTTGTGTATATTAATCAGTATATTTATAACTATAATTTAATAATTCACAGATATAATTACTTGGCGAATATGCAACTTTTAAAGACACTTTCAACAATATGAGTAAAATACGTAAAACTTTCTTAAAAATATTTTAGTTACGATATGTATGTTATATTCAAAATTAATTGGTTTTATTTATCATCACACTAGTATTAATGATTAATGTGGTTTATATACTTATAGAAATGATAAAAAATCAAAAAAAAATCATTACTATTAAAGAAACGAATTGAGTATTTACAAAAACGACTACACATGGACAATAATTGATAAACATGTTGCTATTAGGGTAGATATAATTTGTGGTCTTTGATTACCGCAAATGAAAACAAAAATATAATTTCAATAAGACTACAAATAATTTTATTATATATTAATAATATATTATTGTGCACTTGCTCCAACATTATACATACAAAGAGCCAATGACTGCAGTTTTAATATTATTTATCACTGAGTAGAAAGTTTGATATTTGTTCCATTGTAATTAATTAATTTCAATAATATTAATAATTCTTGCAACAAAATCTAGCAACTACACATAACACAATAATGTGTCAGGATTGTGAATCATTGTGTATGAGTAATATAAAATATTTTAAAATTTATTTTATCTTCATGAAGTTATTAAAGAAGAACCAGAACAGACAAAATCAAATAGTACATATTTTTCAAGATTTATTTTTGGTAATTTAATAAATATAATATAAAATAGATATTTTCAATGGTGGTAGGCTTTGTATACTGGGGCAGCAGCAACGATGGTCTTGGCTACAACAGCTTTTTGGACAATTGGCTCTCCTTTGTATTCTACTTCAGCGTTGAATCCGTTATGGGAGTCAGCAGAGTAATGGACGGTACGGGTGACACCATCAGGTTGGACCAAGGTGTAATATCCCTTGACAACATCTCCGTCACGTTCTTCGTGTTGGTTCTTGACATCACCGGTGTGGGCATCTTGAACTCCGTATTGGTAAGAGTATTGTGGGTGGGTGTCTGGATATACTTCTTGGTGGACAGCCTTGACGATTGGGGCGGCGTAGTGAGCTACTGGGGAAACAGTCTTGACAACAGCTGGGACATGGTGATAGGCAGCGACTGGAGCGGCATGGTAAGCGGCAATTGGGGCGGCGTAGTGAGCGACTGGGGCAACGGTCTTAACTACGGCAGGGGCATGGTGGTAAGCGGAAACTGGGGCGGCGTAGTGAGCAGCAACTGGGGCAGAAGCGTAGTGAGCTACTGGAGCATCGCTAAGGGAAGAGTAGGAAGTGGCATGGTGTCCATGTCCAAGTTCAAAAACACCAGCTTGAGCGCAAGCTACCAAAGCGGAGACAGCCAAAATCTAAAAGATATATTTGATTAATTTATAACTTATAACATTAGCAGTAGATGAAGTACCTTAGCGAACATGTTGTATTCATGTAATACAATTCGATACTGTTTGTTAAAAATCCTCTCTCTTTTATATGAGTCCGTTCCACTCCAAAATATAGCATTTCATAACATCACGCCCATTCGAAATTAATTGTCTGAACTTGAAACTATCTAATGATTTATATACTCATATAATTCTTGGTATAATAATAATTATTTTTTTACTATTTGTATATAAATATAGAAAATCTTTTTTAAAGTTACTGTTCTAAATACAATACATAAGAAACTATGTTTTGGCTTTATCTAATATTTAGGTAAAAGGATAAGCAGATCTCTTGAATTATTTTGCAATATATTATTATGTAATAATATTTACAAAATAGAAATTAAAACACATTTAAACCATCATAACAATAAAACTATTATATAAAAGCTGTTACAATGGGCTATTGACTATTTGCGTTTGCGTCCAAATATTTAATTTAAGCAATAATACTATTTATTTTGACTATTTTTTTTACTGATATTTTTTTTATATTGCATTTTTATATTATTTGGGTGGAACGATCTAGGTCGATAGTCCTTTTGACAGATGAATCTGCATTATTTTTTAATTTATAAATTGTGATTTTTTTTGTAGTATTATTCTATTTTTTTTTGTAGAGTAAATTTATTTTTAATCAAATAAATGTACAACTTTTGTTTTGCAGTAATTTATAAAAAATGTTTTGTCACTAAAAATTATTTTTTAAAAACTTGTTTTTGCATAAAAATACAAATTTATTTATATATAGTATTTATTCATGTAATTTAAATAATACAAATAATACCAAGTTACACAAGTAATTATTTATTTATTAATAAATATCGTTAAAAAATAGTACAATATGTTATTAACCTTGGGCGGAAAGACCTTGGTCAATAGCCCTTTGGTCGCATTGTGACTAATAAATATAATTATTATTAACCATAACATTTATATTCGAATTATTAATTTAATTTAAAAATAGTATCAGTTTTATATCAGTTAAACTATATCAGAATAAGGAAATAAATATGTTATATTGCCATATTACATACAGTTACGCGACATTTTTTTTTTTGCAACAAATTTACAATTATATAATTAATTACGTAAAATATGTTTTCTGCACACAGTTAAATTATATTTGAACATTATGTTGTTTCTCGGGCGGAATGACATATTGTCAAAAACCCGCTGAAATACCTGCGTTGATGATAATAATTTTATTACAATTATGATTATATAAAAATACTCTAAGTTTATTGGGTATGATTAAATGACAGTGACAACTTACAAATATTGAAAACCATATTTAGTTAATGTGTTACAATTATTCTTTACTATAAAGGTATTAATTTTCGAGTTGTCTAATAAAACTAAAATAAAGCTACCAACAAATTTATTTATATTAGGGATTTTTCTTTTTATTGAATTTTAATAAAATGGATTTGTAAAATTTGGCTAATATTAACCTATAAATTACATAAATTAAACGAAATTTTATAGCTGATTTAATTTTATAGTTTAATATAATAAATAATTTCAATACAGTAATATTAATCGGTAATTGGAGCAGCAGCAATGATGGTGTTAGCTACAACAACTTTTTGGACTATTGGTTCTCCTTTGTATTCTACTTCAGCGTTGAATCCGTTGTGGGAATCAGCGGAATAGTGGACGGTACGGGTGACACCGTCAGGTTGGACCAAGCTGTAGTATCCCTTGACAACATATCCGTCACGTTCCTCGTGTTGGTTCTTGATATTACCAGTGTGAGCGTCTTTTACTCCGTATTGTTAAGAGTATTGTGGGTGGCTGTCTGGGTATACTTCGGGTATACTTCATGTTGGACGGCATTGACGATTGGGGCGGCGTAGTGGGAAACTGAAGCGACAGTCTTCACTACAGCTGGTGCATGGTGGTAAGCAGCAATTGGGGCGGTGTAATGTGCAGCAACTGGGGCGGCATGGTGAGAAACTGGGGTGACGGTCTTAACGACAGCTGGGGCGGCGTAGTGAGCAACTACTGGAGCGGCAGAGTAGTGAGCTACTGGTGCACCACTGAGGGAGGAGAAGAATATAATTAATGTAGAAATCAATAATAATATAAATTGATAATTTACCTAAGCGAACATGTTGTATGCTTATGATACAATTCTATACTGTTTTATGAAAATTATCGCGATATTATATGAATCTGTTCCACTCAAAATTCTACTAATTAGTTACGTAATATCACAGAAGCTAGAAATGCATGCGCTCGGGGCAGTTTCATATTCATAAGCAACAATATTCAAATATAGTGCATATATGTATATGTACTTAATCTGTTTTTGTTTGATTTCTATTTTTAAAATGTATGTCCACTATATGCCCAATTTTATTAATAGATAAACAAATATTTATCTTTTTATTATTATCCCAAAAATATCACTATAAATAAAAAAAAAACTTTATCGACTAACATATAATGTGCTTTATTATATGGATAATTATTATAAAATTGAGAGCGATATTAATTAAATTATTTTTACCAAAACTATTTCTAATTCTGATGATTTATTCTATTGTTTGGTATTAAATGGACGCTACTGCACACTATTTACGCACACAAAATATAGATACATTTAATTGATAACAGTAAATAAGTTCCGGTGATTCCAAGGCACTCATTGCACTTAAAAAGGATAAAAAGAGACTGACCCCTTATCTAGTTAAAATTAATTATAATAATAAACAACATTTATTGTATAATAACATGTATTTTCGAATTTCTTTTTTAGCTCTATTTTGCATATAAATATTATTTTCATAACTTCTGTCAATAGATTTTTCTAATAACATTTTGTTTTTATATATATAGTAAATTGTAGTTTATTTATTTTAAAATAATAACATTTATCGCAACAAATCACGATACTACAAACAAAACAAAATAAGAAGAAAATAAAAATAAATTCTATAATATTTATTTTACCAATTTATTTTATTATTCATTAAGTTGTTTTATAATACCGTGTTTCGTTTTTTAAATATTTTATTTTGCGGGAATAAAAAATAATTAATAATATTATTCTTTCGCGCTCATGATATGAAGCGCTCATTGACGCTGCTCGCATCATCTTATTACTTGCACATGAATTTAAAGATGCTTCGAGCAGTACGAATTCTTTATAGCCCAGTTTGAAGATTTAATAACTAAATTTTATTTGACAAAAGTAAAATAAATTCTAAAAAATAGTATACATTTTTTAGTAACGAACTTTTTTTATACCGACTATGACAAGTTCTTACATGTATAAGGTTTAAAAGATGAAAGGTTTATTTTTTATTTTATTATTTACAATGCAATTATTATTTTAATCAATATGTGATATAATTATATAAATATTATCTGCAATACGTCTATTGGAATGGTTATTTTTTAATTGGTAAATCAGAATTTCCTAATGCAGTTTTGAAATTTTATATACCGACTAATCATACAATTAATAGAACAAAGTGAGAATTCTGTGTCAAGGACGTACGGACAATGTTCGAGAAATTGGAATTTCTTGTAAAAGAAATAGGCGGCAACATTCCAGGACCGCTGAACCAACCATTCACAAAATAAGCTTGTTACATATAAAATTAAAAATGCAACGAATACTTTCTCTGTTGATCAAATGTTCTTGGAATGCCACTGATTTATATTGGTAGCAAAAAATGTTTAAATGCGCAAAAAAAAACTTTCAAATATTTTTCGAACGGATGTGATTCAAATACAGCAAAATAATAGAGTAGTGTCATTGGTTATTATTTGTTAAAAAATAATTTGTTCATTTAATTATTTAGATAGGATGACACTTCTTTTTTCTCATATATTTTGTGTATTTCAATATTCTTACTAATTTATAATTATAAATAATTAAATGAACATGGTAATTAAATTATTCATATCAATTAATTAAAATTGAGTTGAAAACTAATTTAAAATGATTTACTGCATGAAGAAAAAGATACATTTCACATTTTTGAAGTAGTTGTATAATTCGTAATACAACTAATAAAAGTTATCGATCCAAAAAATAGCATATGCTCCTGCATTTTACTAGTTCATAAGAAATGGGATATGTTATAATACATTAAAAATTCCCAAAATTATATAATATTTTCATTAAAATCCAATTAAAATAAACTACTGAATAATAAGTTGAAAAAATTAATTTGTCCATTGTTCCACAACAAGAAAATATATTATCTTCAGAATTAACGTACAATCTTTCATTAACTTATTATTACTAATATATTTTTAATAAATAATATAAATGAAGAGTGAAGAGTGTTCCGATTAAGTAAATAGAATCCTTTCGAAACAGATTTGTATACAACCTAGAAATATTGAAAGAGAAAGAAATTGTTATTAAACCACTTATTAGTTTCAAATTTAATAAACAATTTAAACAATGTTTTTTTTCTTAATGATGATAATCTTTGTCCACTGAGGCAGCACGATTGGTTCTCCCTTGTATTCGACTTTAGCATTAAAACCATTTTGGTCTTGTATGGGTGGTATTGGTAATATAATTATGATAGGCCAGAGGTTATTAAACTTTTTCTATTTGCTGTGCACTTAATATATCAAAATTATTTCTGCGGTGCCTTAAGGCAAAACATTGGTATATCTCAGAGCGAACTTTATGTTAATATAACAGAACTTTAGCTTTTCACGGCACCCCTGTAGTACAACACACAGTTTGGGACCCCCTGGGTTAGGCGATGGTGCAGTAACGCTTGACAATATATCCTTCGCGTTCTTTGTATTAGTTCTTAACGTCACCGGTGTGGGCCTTGGACTTTGTATTCTTAAGTATCTTACCATACAGTCGAACCTCGCTTATGATTATGCTCTATTTCAGGATTTGTTACGAACCACTCGTTAAACAAAACAATTTTGAACAAAAAAGAAACACAAATAACATGTTCGAAAACAAGTTGGGACAAATGTGTCATCACAAACGACACTAAGATCCAACTAAAATGACTACTAATATCATAAACAGTTTTCCCACAAGGTGAATAGAAGATAAATAATACATAATATGTCAGAAAACAAGTTTCCAAAATGATGTAGCAGGCAAACAATCCAGGACTTCTCGTCGCTCGTTATGCAAATCATAAACGAAAACAATCATGATAAAAAAAATATTTTTGTTTTGTCAAATAAAATGTAGTTTGCTTTTAAATTTTCAAACCGGGCTATAAAGAATTCGTAATGCACTAAGCAGTAGTATGCGATTTATTACGTAGTATTAGGATATCTATGATCAATAATAATAACGTAAAAATAGACATTTCTATTCAATATCAATAAAAATCAAACAGGAAAGATTAAGTACTGCAATGGGCTATTAACCAAAGGTCAGTGGATAACTTATTACAGTGGTCGCATATACATATATGCAGTATATTCGTATATTTTAGCTTATGCATATGAATCTGCCTCGAGCGCATGAATGTAAGTAATAAATTCTAACGCTAAAAATTTAAATCACAAATTTTTAGCTCAGCGATATTAGGTTACTAATTAGAAGAAATTAGAGTGGAACAGATTCATATAAAATACCCAGCATTTTTATCAAACAGTATCGAATTGTATCACTGACATACAACATGTTTGCTAAGGTAATTAAATAACTTTTTTTTTTAATTAATTATTAAATTAATATTTACATATCTTTCTTAGATTTTGGCTGTTTCTGCTTTGGTAGCTTGCGCCCAAGCTGGAGTAATTGGAGTTGGACACCATGCCACTTCCTACTCATCCCTCAGTGGTGCTCCAGTAGCTCACTACTCTGCCGCCCCAGTAGCTGCTCACTATACCACCCCAGTTGCCGCTTACAACCACGCCCCAGCTGTCATTAAGACTATCAGCCCAGTTGCTCACTATGCCGCCCCAGTTGCTGCTCACTACGCCGCCCCAGTTGCTGCTTACCAAAACACCCCAGCTGTTGTGAAGACTGTCGTCCCAGTAACTCACTACGCCGCCCCAGTTGTCAAAGCTGTACACCAAGAAGTATACCCAGACACCCACCCACAATACTCTTACCAATACGGAGTACAAGACGCTGTGACCGGTGATGTCAAGAACCAACAGAAGAACGAGGAGATGTGTCAAGGGATCTACACTTGGTCAACCTGATGGGTCACCCGTACCGTCCACTATACCGCTGATGCCATAGGATTCAACGCTGAAGTTGAATACAAAGGAGAACCATCGTACAAAAAGGCTGTAGTTCAGCTCAAGAGCCGTTGCTGCTGCTCCCAGTATACATGCTTACCACCATTAAAAATGATATTATTGCAATTATTTATTAAAGTATAAAATCTAAATTTGATACAAAAGATCGTTTAATTTATATCATTTATTGTATAGTCTGAACAATGTTTTTATTATTTATGGCAAAATAATTTCATGTTATTACGACTTGAATCCGAAATAACATATGCATTATGCAATATTAGCATTATCTATATCTCAAATGTAGTAAAATGCTATTTTAATTAATAATATTAATATTTATTAGAAAAGTGTCAGCATAAAAATAAATAACAATTAAAGGATACTCATATTATCATAATAATTAAAAATAATGCGATTATACTCACTGGATGGTGAGTAAGGCGACTTAACGATGAGCTATACGTCGCCCAATATGATTTTATGAATATATTTTAACTTTCAAGTGTTTATA